TCTTTACCACCTCAAAAGGAAACACCTTCCCCATTAGCAGGCATCCCCCGTTCCTCCCTCCCACGCCCCTTGGCAGCTACTGATCTACTTTCTCTGCTCATGGGTTTGCCTGTCCTGGGTGTTGAGCATAAATGGAGTCAGACATTTTTGTGGTCCTCCTCAACTGGCTTCCTTCACTGAGCGCAATGTTTTTTAAGGGTCACCCATTACTACATGTATCTGTACTTGATTCTTTTTATGGCTGAGTAATATTTCATTGTATGGATATACCACATTTTGTTTACCCATTTACCATCTGGGACATCTGGGTTGTTTACACTTTTTTAGCTGTTTTTGAATAATGCTGCTATGAACATTTGTGTTCAAGCTTTTGTGTGAACATAGTTTTCAGTATTCTTGGGCATATATACCTCGGAGTGGAATTGCTAGATCTACAGTAACTCTGTTCTTAACATTTGGAGATACTGCCAGCGATTTTCCAGTGTGTCTGCACCATGCACCTTCCCACCAGCGATGTTCGAGGGTTCCAGTGTCTCCACTTTCTTGCCAACATTTGTTATTCATTTTCTTGGTTATGGCCTTCCTAGGTGAGAAGTGATTCTTGTGCTTTTTAAAATTTTTAATTTTTTGATTATAGTTGACAATCAAGATCATATTAGCTTCAGGTGTATAGCATGGTGGTTAGATATTCATATCACCTACAGAGTGATCCCCCTATAAGTCTGGTACTCACCTGGCACCATATTTACTACAATATTATCGACTATATTCCCTATACTGTACTTTACATCCCCATGACTATTTTGTAATGACCAGTCTGTACTGCATAACCCCTTCACCTTTTTCACCCAGCCTCCCAAACCCTCTCCCTTCTGGCAGCCATCAGTTTGTTCTCTGCATCTGTGAGTCTGTTTCTGTTGTGTGTGTTTGTTTTGTTTTTTAGGTTTCACATATCAGTGAAATCATACAGTATTGCTCTTTCTTGGCCTGACTTATTTCACTTAGCATAAAACCCTCTAGGTCCATCCATGTTGTCATCAATAGTAAGATTTCATTTTTATTTATGGGTAATATTCCGTTGTATAAATGTACCATATCTTCTTTATCAAGTGTCTATTGATGGACACTTAAGTTGCTCCCATACCTTGACTATTGCAAATAATGTGCTAGGGGTGCACATTATCTTTTGTGCATAGGGGTGCATATATCTTTTTGAATAGTGTTTTGTATTTCTTTGGGTAAATACCCCAAAGTGGAATTGCTGAGTCATAGGTAGTTCTATTTTTAGTGTATTGAGGAACCTCCAAACTATCTCCATGGTGGCTGCACCAGTTTGTTATCCCACCAACAGTGCACAATAGTTCTCTTCTCTCCACATCCTCACCAACGCTGCTGTGTGTTGATTTATTGATGGTAGCCATTCTAGCAGGTGTTAAGTGATATCTCATTGTAGTTTTAATTTGCATTTCTCTCATGATTAGTGACCTTGAACATCTTTTCATACGAATTTCCCTCTTAGGACTGCTTTGGATGAATCCCATAGATTTTATGTTGTTATGTGTTCATTTTAATTTGTCCTAAGGTGTCTTTTGATTTCTTCTTTGATCCCATTGTTAACCTATTTATTGTTTAGTACCATGTTATTTAGCCTCCATGTGTTTGTGTATTTTTCAGTTTTTTTCTTGTAATTGATTTCTAGTTTCATATCATGTGGTTGGAGAAGATGCTTGATATGAATTCAGTTTTCTTACATTTACTGAGACTCATGTTGTTGCCTAACATGTGGTCTATTCTGAAAAATCTTCCGTGTGCACTTGAAAATAATGTATATTCTGCTACTTTAGAACTGCTCTAAAAATATCAATTAAATCTGTCTGGTCTAATGTGTCACATAAGGCTGTTGTTTTCTTGTCAAATTTTCCCCCCTTGCTCTTTATCACTGTGAATATTTTCATGCCAGTCCCTTCTGGTTTGAAGTGTTTTGGTGGAGAAGCCAGCTGACAGTCTTGCAGGAACTCCCCTTGTAGGTAATGAACTGCTTTTCTCTTGCTGCTTTTAAGATTCTCTATTTGTCTGTAACCTTTGGCATTTTAATTATGCTGTGTCTATGCGTGGGCCTCATTGGGTTCATCTTGTTTGGGACTCTCTGTGCTTCCTGGACTTATATGTCCATTTCCTTGCCAGGTTAGGGAAATTTTCAGTTGTTATTTCTTCAAACAGGTTTTTGATTTCTTGCTTTCTCTTTCCTTCTGGTACCCCTAGGATGCAAATGTTGTTGTCCCAGAGGTTGCTTAAACTCTCCTCATCCTTTTAAATTTTTTTTGTTGTACGTATTCTCAAAGTTCCATGAGGCCCAAGCAGTCAGTGGCTGGTCTTGGGGGGCTCTGTGCCTCTTGCTGAGTGGCCCCAGACCTGGCACTACCAATCTGAATCTGCATTGACCTGGTGAACGCCACCCACCCCGGCCTGGTACCTTCCTGAGATGCTGCTCCACAATTTGTGTACTGCCTGAGCCTCTTTTCAGCAACTGTTCCTCACAGGCAGCCGGCCTCAGTTCGCAGTGTGGCCTTACCCACATGCCCCTGGGCACTGCACAGGCAACTACCAACTACAGATTACTTTGTAGCACCTACCAGGTAGCCCTGGGCAGGGCACGTGCAGCGACTGACCTTGGTCTGTGCCACAGCCCCTCCCAAGAGTCCCCAGAATCAACATACCCAGTGTCTAGCTTCAGACCACAAGAGAGTATCACCCATTTGCCTCCATAAATGGGCACACCCACAAGGTGGTCTTGGCACCCACCAGATCCTACTAAAGCAAATCCCTATCCATGGGGTCAGCCCCCCTGCGCAGCAGCTTGTCCACTGTGGTCCTGGCCAATCCTCACTACCAGGAGGCCTGGAGGCCAACCCCACCCTTTGATGTGCCAACAGCAATCAAGGCTCAACCAGAACAGAAGGGGACATACAGCCCACACAAGGGACCTTCCTGGAACACCCAGCTCAGGTGCCCGGGGAGACTGCACCACTGGGCAACACAGGACACCAACTGCATAAGGCCACCGTGCCAAGACCTGGAGATGTAGCAGCCCTGCCTAACATCTAGAACCAAACACAGGGAGGCAGCCAAAATGAGGAGGCAGAGAAACATGTCCCAAATGAAAGAACAGGAGAAAACTCCAGAAAAAAAAAACTGAATTAAATGGAGGCAAGCAATATACTAGGTACAGGGTTGGAAAAACTGGTTGTAAGGATGCTCTATGAACTTAGGGAAAGATAGATAAACCCAGTCACAACTTCAGCAAAGAGATAGTGAACATAAAAAAGGACATAAAAACCATAAAAAAAAGTCAGAAAATAAAGAATATAATAACTGACACAAAGAATACATTACAGGGAATCGACAGCAGACCAGATGAAGCAGAGGACTGAGCCGGCAGTTTAAACGGGAGACAAGGTAGCGGAAAGCACCGAAGTGTCAGGGGAATCTGAAGCCCGGGCTTCAGGCCTGGCTGGAGTCACCAGGGTGGGCGACTGGTGTTTACTGGGTTGTTGCAGATTTGGATTTGGTGCCTCCCTGCACCTGCAGGCCGTCTGGGGAGAGGGTGCTGTGGCCACTGCCCCTCTAGCCTTTGTCCTGAAGCCACACAATGCAGTTTTTCCCCCTATGTCCCTGTCACCTTTTGAGCTGCGGGCCCTTTGCTGGAGCACAGGGTGCGTGTTTGGGAGCAGGTGAATCTGTGTGCAGGCAGCCCTTTGAGAGGACGCCTGGGTTTCCAGCAGCCCTCTACCTCAGCAGAGGGAATCCCCAGCGATCCTCACAGCCATATGTGGTGGGAACTCCTCTTTCCAGCTCTGGTACTGTAGGCTGGGGGGCCTAGTATGGGGCTGGGACCCCTTGTCCTCATGGGGGACCTCTGCAGCCGAGATATCCCTCCAGATTCTCCACCACCTCGTGCGGGTATGGAACCAGCCTGTGTCTTGTCTCCTTCCCTCCTACCAGTTCCTGCGTGTCTTCTTCTTTATATCTATAGTTATAGGGGCTCCATTCAGCTAGTCTTCAGATGGTTCTCCGCGTGTTTGTTCTATGATTTAGTTTCATTTCGATATGATCATGGGAAGAGGCAAGCACAGGCTTTACTTACTCCACTCTCTTGGCCAGAATTTCTCATTGTGGTTTTAATTTGTATTTTTCTAATGACTAATGATTTTGAACATCTTTTCATGCACTTACTGACCATTTGTACATCCTCTTTGGAGAAATATCCACATCCTTTGCTCATTTTTTAATTGGGTTATTTGTCTTCTTGTTCTTGAGTTATGCACGTAGTCTGATTAGACTCTTATGTCAGATACGTGATTTGTATTCACTTTCCCCCCTTTTAAGTATTTTTGATAGTGTCCTTTGAAGCACAAATGTTTTAATTTTGATAAAGTCCAATTTATCTGTTTTTCTGCATTTCTAAAGGACTCAGGCCCTTCCTCGTGAGCGCCTGCAGGCCTGTGCTGTCACTGTCCGTGCGGAACATCACCGTATGGAGCTCTGCCATCATTTCTTCAAACACTTTTTTAATTAATGGGCTGGCTTTATAGTTTACTACTGTTACAGATAGTACTGTTATGGCCGTTTGAGAGGCACATATCTGAACTGTTTTTTACAGATACCATCAGAGTAAATTCTAGAAGTAGAATTGCTGGGTCAGTGTGGGCACGTGTTCAAAAATCTTGGTAAATCTCTTCAAACATCAGTACGATCACCTGTTGCCTCTCCTCTGCTCACAGCCTTGCTGACTCTGATGAGAGATTGGTCTTATGGAAGAGTTCCAGTTGGAGCGGCATCATTATCTAACTGTTCCCTTTTACACCCCAGCCGGAGGCACATTCATTCCTGCCCAGATGTCTCCACTTCCGCATGTTCCAAGACGTAGAATGGTGGGTTCAAAGGCAGGTAAAGAGCTTTACCCACTTGCTTGCTTACCCATTTGTGTGTCTCTCCCACAGAGATACAGACACGTTACCAGTGTTGGACATTTGCTAACTGCGATTTCACACACCTCTCCGAACACTTCGGGGAGAAGAAGCTACATTACAATTGCTGCCAGAAGGACCTGTGCAACAGGAGTGGTGGGACGAGTATAACCGGGACCACGGTTCTGCTGGTGACTCCGCTGCTCACAGCATTCTGGAGACTTTTTATCTAAAGTGATGCCAGGAGAGATTCTCCTAAACTCCCTGTTTCTGTATATTTCTTATTTCCTTTGCTGCCACATTCCCAAAGCTTTATATTTTCCAACTGGATCCTGTTGGGAAAATCTAAAACTAGCTTACACAACTTGAATAGGAGCAAGAGACAGAGAGACTCCAACTCCAGACCAGTTCTATTTGCAGGGAAGCCCATTGGAGGGAAGAAGTTGAAGAGTGAAGCGTGTGTGCTGTGAGCTAGGTTACGTGCTTCTTCCTCTGCTCTTTGCAGTGACGGCTCGACTACGTACCATGCAGTCATTGGCTAGTTCCCCTCTCGCTCCTTGGATGTAGTTAAATAGTGTGATGGGCACTTGGTGGGGGTGAATTGGGGCAGAGAGGTTCTTTCCAACAGTCTCCCAGAGAATGCTCTCATCCTCTCTGTTTATGGCCCTGTGTTCCCACGTAGGCAAGATGAATGTTCCAGATGTGGCTGTCAGTCAGGGTGGCAAGCTTCAACATGCAGAGAGATCAGAACGACCGTTATATCCTCAACTAGAAGGTGTCTGGCAGAGTAGGAGGCAAGCTTTCCAGCTGCTAGGGTATAGAAACCGCAGGTCTGTCCTTATAGAGGTACCAGTGACTGAAATCTGAATCTTCTGCCTCTAAATTTTGCATGGGCTTTGCTGTCTTTCTCCAGAAGAACTTAACCACGTAAACTAATGATGTGTTAAAACTGTTCCCCTCCCTTTTTTCACTGGAGCGGTGGTATGTTTTCATTTTGTCACACACAGTTCAAGATTAAATATCTGAACCTTCTATGCTACATGTGCTTTACAGTATTGAGTGCTTATTTTACAGATTCTTAGTGGGAATACTCTTGCTTTGTGTATGTCTGCTGAGCGAATGCCATGGGAAGAGCTCCGGGGTTGCAGTTTGAGACCTTCAGGTGTCGTCATGCACAGCAGCAGGTCTGCAGGCTTGTGTCTTCCCTGCTGACATCCAGCCCGTTGACCCCTAGCCGACCCGGCACAGACTGTGTGAAGTTTATTTGTAAGGGCTTTCAGCATGCTCACAGATGTTTCAGAAGCTCTAGCAGTTTCCTAGAGTGATACCCCTTTTCAGGAAGACCTAGTTTCACCTTTTTCTTGTGGGTGCTGGTGAAGAATTCTCAAGATCTGGTAGACTTAATGACATTTGTATTCTTAGCATCTTGGCTGCATTCAACAGAATAGCCTGAGTTGTGCAGATGACAATGAGGTTCCTTGATGCACATTTTTAAAAAAATGCTTTGATTATGTAATTTGCAAGACAAAGTGGAATGAATGATGTCTTTTGAAAATAAAATCTAATCAAATGTGTGAGTATGGTCATTGGCCAAGAAGGACGGCAGCATACGCCACAGGCCCAATGGAGGGAGAGACCTGGGGCAGTGCCAGCATTCTCCTGTCGACGCCCTTGCCGAACGAAGCCTCACCTGGCATTACCCGGGTGCTCTGTGTTCCCCGTTGGCTCAGTGTCTTTCCTCACATCATCTTTAATTCTGTTCCAAGCCAGAATAGAAGGTGTGACTCTTTCTTCCACAGGACTCTTCTTGCCCAAGGAAGTACTGACCACACCCACAGCCGCTAGCTTATAGGAGTATGTACCACAAAAGTTTTATTTATTTAAACTAAAGCTTCGTATTTACACATGCTTATATTATTTTGGAGTAACATACATGACCACAGTACTTCTTGGTAGGTATCCATATCTGCTTTTCAGCAGCAGCCATGTGGGTCCAAAGCCTCTGGGCGGGGTGGGGAGAGCATGCCGTCTGCAGAGGGTAAGCGCGCTGAACCTCGAATCCAGATTCTGGGATTGCGGAGTGGGGAGCTGCTTCTCTGTGATCAGCTTCCCCAGGGGGACTGCCATTCCCATCCTTGCTGTTACTGGCTACAAGCCAACCCCGTTATGTTGGTCCTGTACATTCAACCAGTGCTCATGCTGCCTCAATCGACCCCTGCTGATCTGGCTTTTGGTTTTACAGATGCATTAGTCACTATCAATCAGCCTAACCTAGTGACGCAGTGGCCCTTACGGGAATGTGTTGGTGTGATACTGGACGTAGCGCTATAATCATAAAGTCTACTGGTGTAGGTAACATGGGACCTGGTGCTATTTCTCAACAGGGAATGTAGTGGTCACAACTTGAGGGCTTCCCGTGTGCCAGGCACTGTTCTAAGCAACATATATATGTATTTCACTTAATGTTTCTCCGTGACTAGGAATAGTGTTGCCTCTACCCAGACCCACTGGGGCGTGAACAAATCCCCGTTGCCTGCCCATTTTCCTGGCCGGGGCTGTGTGCCTGGGCAGCTGCCCACGGAGGCAGGAAGGTCTCTCCGAGCCACAGCTCCCTCAGCCCTTTTGTGTTGCTTGAGCTAGTTTGAGAAAGTTTCTGTTCTTTGCACGTGAACGTCCCTGACCAAGACAACTACTAGTGAGAAGAGTTCACTGGCAATTGCTAACTAAGCCACCCTTTTCCGGAGCTACAGGACGAAGGTAAAAACACACTAAAGGTTGGATCGACAATAACATGTATATGATGTGAATAGAATAACCTTGAGATTTTTTTTAAATTTAGGTTTATAATAAGATGTCTTTGCCACAGGCCTTTATTTAAATGTGATACATTTGCAGCGCAGTCAGTCGTAAAGGGTCCTTTTGGGTGCCTCTGCCGCTGGCAAGCTCTGAGGCCTTGTACATACGGCTTCACCACTCTGACCCTCTGTGTCACCGTTATTTGTAGCAATGGGAAGTACCACGATGGGCACTTCCTTTTTAGCCTCTTGGCCTCTGTTGCCCCTCCCTTCTGATAACAGAATTGCAATTATCAGTTGGGGCATTGCTTCCCCTTTGTAAGTGTTGTGTTCGTGGGCCTGGTAATGAAGGTGGTGTGCCCTCCTCTAGCTAAAAGTTGGCAAGGTCTCTCCTGGAATTTGGGTCTTGAGTGGAGTTATACTTGGAGTGAAAAATATTTTTTGCTTGAAGCTGTGAGTGTCTCAGGAAGGCTGTAAGTAAACGATAACTCCGAGCCGTTTGATCAGACAGTCTGATTTTCTTGCATAAACAGTCGGAAGATAGGCCCCTGCTGGTGTTGGCTCAGCAATGTCTCAGTGGGTGTATCTGTGACATTCTTGGTCTTCCCCTCATGGTCACCAAGTGACTGCAGAAGTTCCAGCAGTGCACAGGTTTAAGGCAGGAGGAGGAGATGAAGGGAAAGTTGTTTCTGTCCCTCTTGTTAGGAAAGTAAAATCCTGAGAAGCTTCCAGCTATTGTCTGGTCATATCTGCTGGCAGGAAATGTCTCATGGCCACCCCTAGCCAAAAGGGAGACTGGCAAAGCTACTCTTTCATTTTTCCAGCCTCTATAGGTAAAGGCTGCAGGGAAAGGGGCTAAAAACAGTCCCCGAGAATAGCCTGCTGAGTGTGGCTACCACTGCAGTGGCCATACTGAAGAGGCTGCTCATTTCCTTCCAGCTGCCTGGGTCCCTCAAGTTGCCCTGGTCTCAGCACCCTCAACCTAATATCTCAAGCTATCAGTTCCGTGAACTATCTCATTGCCCTTCATATAAAAATCTCAGTATCAACCTCTGTTGCTTGTGAGCAGAAAGTTCTGACAGACCCACCCTCTAAAGTGTTACTACCGGGATACCCTGAACATATGTTATAGTAAGTGGTCGATTAAGTGTCAGCTGCAATTATTTCACCCAAGGTTGCACAGCTAGTCGATGCTGGTTGTTGGGACTTCGACTCAGCTCTCTCGTCTCCCAAGCCCCTGCACTCTCCCTCCCACTAAACTGCCTCTCAGCCTTCAGTTTTTTAAAAAATGTGCTTACTCTGCAAGTGCATAGGACAACATCTGCCAAGGAAAACAAGAAGGGCTGGACTGCAATTTTTTTAGAAACTTTCTTGAAATAGTGGGTGTTGTGAAGGGAGGCAGGACTGTGTGGGCCAGCAGCTCCTGACCAGCACAATGGTTAATTCAGATGAGTGATAAAGAGAAGACTGTCCTGAAAAAAAAAGAAATGAAAAGTGTCCCGAGTTTCCCAGAATAGCCAGACCCTTGAATTGTGACACAAACAACTTCTAGTTAGAGCCGGTCCCCTGCCAGCAAGAGAAATCCAGTGAACAATGGGAAAGTGACCTTTCCCTGGAGAGCCTGGGAGCTGCTGGGAGGGAGGTGGAAAGAGGGAGTGGCCCAGAGGCTGAGCTCTGGGGCCAGTCTGTCTGTTTTTAGTTCCAGCACTGACACTAAATAGTCACAGGACCTCGGGCAAATTACCTACCCTTGGATGACTCAGAAAATGGGGATAATACCATCACCTACTGCTTAGGGTTGTTAGAATGATAACATGAGTGAAGACAAGTCCCTGGCAGGCAGTGACCTCCCTGTGTAGTATCACTGTCCTCAGCGAAACAACAGGTGAACCAGCTGCTAGGGTGTAGGGCTTGCTAGGTTGCCCGGAGAGGGTTTGGATTGCAGGGAGGGACACACCCATCCTCCCGCTCCACTGTCCTCATCAATTCACCAGGGCTTAATGGCAAATGAATGAGTACATATATAACTGTTTATAGTTACAGTCACACTTTATGAAGCACCCACTCTGTGTTCCAGGTCTTGCTTGTACGTGTTTTCATCAGACACATCAACCCTATGATGTAAGTATTGTCTTCATTTTATAGCTCAGAAAACTGAGGTTCAGAGATCTGACGTGACTCTCTGAGAGTCACCTGGATTCAAAGATGAGTCTTGTTTTCCTGTGTTCAGGCTACACAGCAAATATTTATTTCTCACAGTTTTGGCGGCTGGCAAATTTGGTGTCTGGTGAGAAGCCGCTTCCTGTTTTACGGGTTGCAATCTTCTCACTGTGTCCTCACAGGGCGGAAGGGGCAAGGGAGCTCTCTGGCCACTCTTTACTAAGGGCACTGATCCTACTCATGAAGGCTCTGTCCTCATGACCCAGTCACCCCCCAAAGCCCCCCACCTCCTAATACCCTCACAATGGGGCTTTGGTTTTCAACATACGAAGTTTAGGGGGGACACAAATATTCACTCCACAATAACTCTGTTGTATTCCAAGCCACAAACTCTACATGTTTGTAAAAACTGTCCAGAGCCAAGGCAGGCAAGGCTCTGGCCAGTTGTGACATACCCCTAAAGAGGCAGAGAATCTGGTTAAGGTGTGATTGCTGGCGTTCTGTCTAGATGCAGAACTAAAGTGATGGAGGGGAAGTGGGACTTCCAGTGGAGCAGATGGAGTCAAACCCAAGTTCATTTGCCCAATGAGCAGGAAGACCAATCGCTAAAGTGATGAGTATGCAACAAGGAAAGAGCTTGTTTCCGAGAGGCAGCCAAACAAGGAGACAGGGAGAAGGCCCAAATCTGTCTCCCCAAGAGGAAAAAATCAAGCGGTTTTATGGAGTTTGAAAGGGGAGTTTACATGCAAAGGGAGAGGAACTAAGTGATTCTACATCTGATAATGGAATACTGTTACAGAACAGAACAAGGGGGCCTGGAACGATATACTATTATTGAAAGAAGGCCCCGGGTCCATTATGTCCGCCGCCAGAGGAAAGACATCTCTCAATGCCAGAGATTCGTGAAAAGGAAAGGAAATGTTTATTTAATGCTATACAAACTTAAAGTAGTGACCTAATGTCTTTATCAAAAATCCCAAAGTCCCCCCAAAACACCCACAAACAGACACAGTCCTTCCTTCCTTCCCCCTTTGCCCAGTCCAGACTACCGTATCTCAGGGAAGGAAAACGAAGTACATGGCTCAGACAGTCCTCTGGTTCTTAGTCCTCCATCTCGACTGGGAGACCTCCCTGGGTCCCCGGCACCCTCGGCTGAGTCACCAGGATCTCTGCTAAAACCAGGTGGTGGTTCCCCCTTCTAAAGCTGCGGGGGTCCCCACTCTGTCCAGGCCTCATGGTTCTCCCTCTCAGGGCTTTGGGAAGGGGAGAGTCCCCACTCTGCCAAAGCCGCGTGTTTCTCTCTCCTAAAGCAGCACGGTTCTCTCTGGGATGCAGGAGTCTCCACTCCGTCAAAGCCGTGTGGTTCTCTCTCTCTCAGGGCTGCACATGGCTCTCCTTCTCAGGGCTGCACATGGTTCTCCACTCTGTTAAAGACGCATAGTTCTCTCTCCTAATGGCCACCAAGTCTGGCTTTTAAATCCCCGCGGCCAATCTTCCTCTGCAGCCTCATTTCCGACTCCTCCCACACTCGGCTTCACATGCCAGAACTCGTATCCTTCCAGCTTTACTGGGCTGCCATCATGAGTCTGGGCAGGCGTGGCCCCATGTCCTGGAG